ACACGACTCATCTGACCTCGTCGCCACGACGACGGCCGCCTTTTTGACCGGCCAGACGTCGGTGACGAGCTCCGTCTGTCGGCCACTGCCGGCGTCATCGCACACCGACAGTGTCGCCATTTCGTGCCCCGGCGCTTCGTTGCGGATCTCCACAACCGGCGGGGCCGGCATCGTCTTGACGACCTCCTCGGGCCTGGCCGCCTGCTTCGGCCCGGCCCGAGCGCCCATTTCGGCCCGCTCTTCCTCGCCCACGTCCACCCCTTCGCTTTGCCTCTCGCCCTCGCCCTCGCCCTCCTCCGCCTCCTTCTCCTCCTCAAACGCCACCCTCACTCCAAACTGCACCGCCGCGTCGTCACGTCCGCCGCTCGCTCCGTTTCAGGCTCGGCCGCTCAGGCCGGTTGGATCTTACGACAGCCTCTTGTCCAGGGACTTTGGCTGCCCCGACTGCCCCACCCTCACGGTTGCCAAGCGCGCCCCTAGTCCCGTGCACATATCCCACATCACGGCTGTCTCCCTGCAACGGCTTCAGCCAGTCGGACAGTCGGGACAAGCACAGCAACCGCAGCAACAGCCGTCTCCGCCGCCGCAAACGCGACTGTCGTGCCAAGCGCAGGCGCAGATCGCGGCTCCGCCTGCGGAGGCGCAGCAGCCGACGCTGACGGCCCTTCTGCGCAGGCCGGGGCCGTCTTTTGAAAGCGCTCGCCTTCGACCGGCCGCCCGCAGGTCGGCCTGTCTGTCCGCGGCCCTCGCGCCGAGTCTCACCGCCGCCGACCTTCCGCCTCAGGCCGTCAAGTCCGCTCTCGGCATGACAGGCAGCAGGCGCGCGGGCGAACACAGTTCGCCCGGCCGTCAGCGGCCCGGCGCACGTGCCAGTATCGATCCGGTCAACGCGGCTCGTGGCTGTGCTGGCGGCACGCCGCGTCAGCAGCAGCCGCCGCCAGGCTCCAGCAACTGCTTCCGCGTCCAGATCCCCAGCACTCGCATGTCCTCGCGCTCCAAGGCCTACTTCATCGCCGACAGCCTCAAGCTGTACGAGGAGGGCATCCTGAGCCACCACGGCGTCGGCCAGCGGCCTCTCTCTCTCTGCCTCAACCTCGCCTCCCCCATCGACGACGTGATCGTCGTTCCACCCTCCCAGCCGGACCGCTCCTCCTCCTCCTCCTCTTCCTCCTCCTCCTCCTCCTCGGCCGCCAACTCATCCACCTTCTCCTCAATCGGCTCCTCCTCATCTTCCTCCTCCTCTTCTTCCTCCAACCCGTCCACTCGGGCCACCGCCCCTTGGCCTGGCCTCCACCTCGCCGCCACCTCGGACAGGCCATGCATGCAGCACTTGGTCACAGGTAGCCCTTTTTCCTCCGCTCAACTTCTTTCACGTTGCCACCTCGGACTTGTGTTGTGGAGTCTTTCAGTTGGTAGGAAAGAGAGCACGTTACAGCAACTCGTGGCTCCATCTCTCACCAGACGACTCACGGATGCTTCACCTTGTCACGTGGCCCATTGGCTTTATTACGGCGTTTCAGGGTCGACCCAGTTCACAGTACATCCATCCTTCCTCATTTCACATGGAAACGGGATTAGCTTCCGTCTTTCTCAAGTTAGCGCGTCTTGACGTCTTGACGACGACGCTCTTTGGCAATTGCTCTGCGTTATAGCCGCTATTGCGTACTGGATACGAGAAGAAAAGCTGCTTTTCGATAACACTTTTGGTCTTCAATTATTGGGCTTACTTCCATTTAAATGAGAAAGTGTTGGCTGAATAGTTTCTCATCTGGATCCCATTAAAATGCGACGGTTGTCGTTTGGTTTTAGTGGAACATCCTGAGCCTTGCTCCGCCGACATCATTCGATTAGGATATCACATTCATATCAAAGAATGTGATATGGGAAAATGCCTGACC